GTGGCATTGCAAAGCTAAGATTTCAAACTAGTTGCTGTGTAAATTTCAGCATCCTATCTCAAGTGGTTTGGCCGTGGTGAAGCTTCAAAATTTGGATTTTCCAGAAAGGCAAAATTGGCAAATTTCAACAGGTAGCTACCTGTGGTACCAAAATCCATTTTTGGGTCGATTTTTTTTTGGTCTCGGAAATCGATGTAACCCGGTTTTTTGGACTCGGTGCTTCTCTAGCTCTCCCCCAATGTGCATAAAAGTGAATTCTGAGCACTTTTTTTTTTTGCGGAAAAGTGCCAAAAAATCCGGTTTTTCATGGACAAAACTAAAACGCTCAGTGCTTCCAAAGTCAGGCAGATATGGAATCGCAGTTTGTGGCATTGCAAAGCTAAGATTTCAAACTAGTTGCTGTGTAAATTTCAGCATCCTATCTCAAGTGGTTTGGCCGTGGTGAAGCTTCAAAATTTGGATTTTCAAAAAAGGCAAAATTGGCAAATTTCAACAGGTAGCTACCTGTGGTACCAAAATCCATTTTTGGGTCGAATTTTTTTGGTCTCGGAAATCGATGTAACCCGGTTTTTTGGACTCGATGCTTCTCTAGCTCTCCCCCAATGTGCATAAAAGTGAATTCTGAGCACTTTTTTTTTTTTGCGGAAAAGTGCCAAAAAATCCGGTTTTTCATGGACAAAACTAAAACGCTCAGTGCTTCCAAAGTCAGGCAGATATGGAATCGCGGTTTGTGGCATTGCAAAGCTAAGATTTCAAACTAGTTGCTGTGTAAATTTCAGCATCCTATCTCAAGTGGTTTGGCCGTGGTGAAGCTTCAAAATTTGGATTTTCAAAAAAGGCAAAATTGGCAAATTTCAACAGGTAGGTACCTGTGGTACCAAAATCCATTTTTGGGTCGAATTTTTTTGGTCTCGGAAATCGATGTAACCCGGTTTTTTGGACTCGGTGCTTCTCTAGCTCTCCCCCAATGTGCATAAAAGTGAATTCTGAGCACTTTTTTTTTTTGCGGAAAAGTGCCAAAAAATCCGGTTTTTCATGGACAAAACTAAAACGCTCAGTGCTTCCAAAGTCAGGCAGATATGGAATCGCGGTTTGTGGCATTGCAAAGCTAAGATTTCAAACTAGTTGCTGTGTAAATTTCAGCATCCTATCTCAAGTGGTTTGGCCGTGGTGAAGCTTCAAAATTTGGATTTTCAAAAAAGGCAAAATTGGCAAATTTCAACAGGTAGCTACCTGTGGTACCAAAATCCATTTTTGGGTCGAATTTTTTTGGTCTCGGAAATCGATGTAACCCGGTTTTTTGGACTCGGTGCTTCTCTAGCTCTCCCCCAATGTGCATAAAAGTGAATTCTGAGCACTTTTTTTAGTGTTTTTGATCATTCAAGGATGAACACTATTGGAATTCAGAAAAAATATTAAGTATGAGTTATTGCCCTTAGCCCGTAAACACCCTAGAAACCACATCATTGCCGGATCTTGTTTAGTATCACCCAAAAACATTAAACAAACTGTATGACTGAAGGTTTAATATTTCATACTGATTATTGTTACTGTACTGCTAAATACTTTTACTCAAAATCAAAGCTGCCAGTGGGCATATATTTCGTTGCATGGCAAGCTTTCTTTTTTTACTTGTTGAAATATTTTTAACAATACACCATTAAATGAAAGTGTAGATGTAAGAGTTCTTTTCACCTTTTATCCCCATGTGGACTCACTCCACTAAAACATTTAGTCCAGGCTATTTTTAGAAAAATCTTCTTTCTCTCTCCCTTTTGGGGTTTTTGCATGCCTATTTTGGGGTAAAAAAAATTTCTAGATTTGGAATTTGATGTCTGAAATTGCATTATCTTTCAGATTTGGTGAAATGATGAGAGACCTAAAGGCGGAAGGCTAATTCTAAAAATAGTCGTTTTGTGAAGTGCCAAACTCTAGCGGATGAGTATAACCGATAGTAGTCTACTTTCAATTTTATTAGCTCAAATTTTTCATGGTTTTATTTTTTAGGAGACATTGAGAATTGGTCAGGCGACATATTGGAAAGCTTTCAACGAGATTTCTGGAAAAAGTTATAGAAGGTTGAATTTCATGTTTTAACATGGGAAGAGATGGCAAATGAATTAGTGGAGTGAGTCATGTCTGGTAACAGGTAAGGTCATTTATTTTTTAAAATTGATATTTTTCATTTTTCGTGAATGTTTTTGTATTAAATTTTCAGAACAGGTAGAATAAAGACTAAATTACTTTTTATGGCTACATTTGCATATTTTTTTGTCCAAAATTTGAATTTTTGGCCACTTTTATTGAAAAACGCCATTTCAGCCATATTTCGACCTGCCAACTTTGCAGCAATGTATCAAAAATTGTAATTATTTGTTTTTCTTCACATGTTTTCACACAAAATGGATGCCTTTAACACATGCACTAGTTCCAGGCTGCAAAATTCATCTTTTTTGGCTATAAATTCCTCTTGCAGGGTATTGCAGGGGGCTTAATTTTTGTCATCAAATGCGAAGTATGGGGTAATATCTATTCAATGTCCCATCAGTCATAGACCATGAATGTGCATAGATTGGCTTTCATGTTTATGAATATTTTGTAATGTCAAAACGGGTGAGGGGGGGGGGGGGCAGTTTAGTGTTGGCTTCGACACTTCTGTTGCCAGATTTTGGAGTTGTAGTATAAAAGAGAACACGTTATTATGAAAAAGCGAAATGTTTATGGATCGATTTATTGACTCACATTTTTGAGTGTCTGTCTTATAACGGGTTTTGTAAATGGTTTCCTCACTTAATCTTATTTTCAAAAGTTCATTTAACAGAAACTTATCATTGTCATTCATTTCCAGGCTCGTTAAGTTGTTTGAAGCCAGAAACATGGATCGATTCCACCAGTTGTTGCTGTGACCGCCACTACAGACCACGCAGTTGGAACGGCACTTGGAATAGTCTCCATCGTAGCACATAACAGTTGCTTGTAGTATTTTCGGCATCTGTTTTTTCAGTTTGTCCACATCTCCGCAGTAAGTATAGTACATCTCTTTGATCACAAGGCTACACCTGGATTTTATGTCCTGGCTCAAAGTTTTCTTTTGATTTGTTTTTTCAACTTTTGTTTTGCCTCTGAACATTCCGTCGTTAAAATTAGCCTTAAAACATTGGCGAAACTGAGATGCACTAAGATGGGCTGGGTCAGCTAGTCTTTCAACTTTCCACATAGGATGTAAAGTTCTCATTGCCTCTTTAATTCCGGTAGCTGACATTCAATCTCCGTCTGTTGTGGTAGACTTGATGAGCACCCCTTGAATAGATAAATCTTCATCAATTATTCTCCCCATTTCTCAGATAAAGGTGCATGTCTTGTTAGATTGGCTGTGCATCCCTCGTGTCCTGGACAGTTGACAGTAATGCCTGTGTTTCTTAGCCACGCTCTGCTTTCCTTTTTTTTCAGGCCTTGGTTGTAAAACCCTGTGACTACCTGGAGAGTCTGGTTCAATATTCACATAGCTCAATTCTTGGTCTTCATACACTGCAGAGGTAGATGGAAGATCATAGTCGTAGTCAGTTTGTGTCACCTCACTAACTTTCTTTACATAACCATGTATGTATGTGAACTTTTTCGTTTTCTGTCGCCTTTCATATTGAGAATTTTGAATGGAAATGAGTGAATTTCTCATTTTTGCTAAATATATAGTATTTTGAGACTTGAGGGAGGTGAAAATATCAGCAGAATGATATATTGAAGACAGAATGAATAGACAGAGAAAATCTTATAGAGATATCATTTATTTCTATTTACTTTTCTTGAAAACATTTGGTTCCATTTCTATTTCTGCAATTGTCATTAATTTAAGAAGTACTGTGGTTTTTGAAGTAAAAATAGGCTGAATTATGTGCGAAGTAAATGTGACGTAATAAATTTGACCCTTATTCTGTGTAATTTATGTTTTTCAGGCTTGGTTTTGGTCAACCATTCTTAATCTTTTTACGGAATTGAATTATCTTCATAAATAAAAAAGTTCTGACAAATTCAGAATTGTACGTATACAAGCTTATACAGTGCATATAAAGCTTATTATAGGAAAGAGGGGGCAAAAGTAAAAACACTACCACTGGTTTACTTTTATGTTTATTTGCATAATTTTTGGTCAGGTTGTTCCACAGATGTTATAGAACAAATTAAAGCTACATATATAGTCTGACCAAGAACGAGTTGCGTCCCTTTGATTGTGGAGAATTTACAGTCGTTCCTTTGTTTCTTTGAAATATTACTCCAGATTCGTTAGAGGGGTATAGTAGGCTGTCTTGCAAAAGAGCTCTATTTGTATCACTTTTTAGAATTCATTTCGACGTCAGGTCGTTTACAATAACGCTGTAACGCTGACATCTGTCCAAGTAGCTATCATCAGAGGCTGGAATAGAGACAGGTGTTTCGGTCTAATAATGGGATAGATATTACCAAAACTATGACGTAACTTCTCCTTGGGTCTATATTCTTATTTATTACGTTTTCATAGAAGACGGACTGGAAGTATTAATGGTAGATGGTAAAACAAGTATTTAGACGATTTATAACCTTTAATACTGAATGAATATGATGAAATATAAACATATATGAATATTGCACAGGATATACTGGCGCGATACAAATGTTCGTTTGTCGTTCCGTAAGTAAGAAGGGATTAACTTGAGCTACCCTGTGCGGATATTGGGGTTAACCGGTTACAGGTTAAACATGGCACCACTGTATTACCTCAAGACTGGGATACAATTCCATGTTTTTATTATAGTCCTAAAAAATCCAACAGATAACTAGCACTTGTAACTGCGTTTCTTTATCAGATCTAAGGCAATGCTTACAGCAGAAGGTAGATATAGAAGTTTTTAGATTGCTTTTGATCAATTCCGATAATATCAAACCAGTTATAGTCCACAACAAGAGGATAATTACACCACGGTTTGCAAACGACTCAACTCGTGCAGCCAAATTATTGTACAATATTAAGCAATTCGCAAATCCAACAAAAACTTTAGATAGTCCCTTCGCCGCAGAATTCTTGGAGTTTTGTATTGTCCGAAGCAACAGTCAGGGTTATTTTCTAACTGCATATTTCGCAGTTTATCGAACGTTCCGATTTTAACCTGCTCTATCTTGACTGCTTGAATAGCACCATTTTTCCTGTTGTCTTTATAATTTTCAACATGGTTACTTAACACTTCGTCAATCTGAAATGGAACCAATATCAAAATAGTTCAATATGTCAAATTTTTCAGATTCGAGTAATACTAAGTTTCCACCTCAGTCATCGACTGCATGTCAATAGGTTAATTTGAAGAACGTTCAAGAGGGCTGTCAATCGACAATAATTGAAGTGGCTATATTAAAATTGAAAAAAATGGAACGAACGTTTGGTCTCATTTTAATTAGACTGTAAAGAATTGTAGTATCAATTAAATGAATAAAGTAATAAGAGAATAGAGTAAATCAAAATCAATCAAGTCACCTGTAATATTTGTTCATCGTTCATCTTGATGTCTGTGGTAAATTCAACAAAAATAACATAGTACAGGTCACCACTAACAGAATCTTAAAAAAAATAATGAACATAAAAACATATATTAATTCAACATAAAAATCAATCGACATAAACATGTTAAAGGGAGAGGTGTGCCATTTTCGGGGTTTGATTTAAAACTTGAATATATGTATATACTCTCCAGAAGTACTAAAATTTCGCATAATTCCTTCAAAAATATCTAGGAATTTTTTTTCCTTTTGCTATAGATGGCTTTTCTATATATGACAGTGTTTACAAAAAACAAATTGTCTTTGTAACTTTCAAACGCTGATAATTCTGGACACACATGGATTTGAAGCTCAAATTTCGACGGCGAGCTGTGAACACTTTTACTGATTGCCTTGGCTAAAAGATTTCCGTATCTGAAACAAAAGTGGGATTGGTCAAAAAAAATGGAGCATCTGTCCCTTTAAAATACATACCTAGAATGTTTTCTACGTGTATATTTTCTGTACATGTATAATTAGCTATCTGAAGATCACTCCAATTGGCACTATAGTATAAAGCCTTAATGACCATATCAACATGTACTTTTTCTGACCTTAAGTTCAGGACATCACCAGATCTAAAAAAAAGGAAAGGCAGTACTTTGATTACGGGCTATTCACTTGCAGTGATGACATTATCAAATGGTATGGGGGAGGGGGGTAAAAAATATTCCGGGCCAAGTCTTCTCGAAAGGATTTAAGCACTAGGATATCCTAGAAACAGTGTCTGAAGTTAAGACATTCTAGACGAGACTGTTTACGAAGTTCAGATACGTAAGGAAGGTCAAAACCGTCACAGAAATTTTCAGATCGGAAAAGAGTTCGGAATGGTTTAATGAAAAGGAAAATTCATGTATTGGTCACAAAATACAGATTGGTCAAAAAACCTGATTGGTCAAATGTCACACTTAAGTCATACGATGGCTTAATATGTCCTCGCGAATAGTCCGATATTTATACATGTACAAACAGACCCAACGCGGCGTGTGTGCATCTGGGGTGAATTTCAGGGCCAATGCGACGATGTCTTCCATGTCGTATACTCTACTGTTCAGATATTCAGAACTAGTTTCATACCTGCCTAATAACTGATATTGCGGAGTTGAATCTTGATAACCAGTGACTTTAATGATATCTTGAGTTCTATATCTATATAAGCCCTCTCTGGTCGTTATAACTAGTTCATATTTTTCATTCACTTTCAGCTAAAAAAAAAAAAAAATAATGTTATCTATCGTAAACATCAATATCAGCATAAAATCACCTAATCATGAGTGACGTGAGTGATGCTAGCCCTACACAGTTGGCCTTAACCAGTAACGGTGACGATATCACGTCCGTATACCTAGCAACCAGATGATGATGCCAAATTTTGACATACCACCATTTGTAATAATCAGGAGAAGGCAGACCCATAGTTATTGGTGGTTCGTCTAGCTTACATAATAAACTATAGCCAGTCGATGAACTAGATGAGTGAGGGCACTTGGAGTTAAGTTGGGCCCCCTTCCTCCGGAAAAATATTTTTGAACATATGCTCTTTTATTCGACATGGAAAAAGCGTCTAGTCGTTCAATACACGATGTCCGACTCTGGACACATGCTATCCCAGACAGAGAAAATCATAAGACTCGACTTCTGGTCCGGACAGCATACCTCGTCTTAACGCACCGTTACAAAATATATACGTCCAATTATTCGATCTACCACTAACACCGAGCAAAACTTTTGACATTTAATAATCTAATCTACAAGTTGTGCTTCTGATGTGTCATAAGAACCGAAGTCATTGTCACTAAATTCATTTACAAAAACGTTACGTTATGTATCTATAAGTTGTGCTTCTAATGTGTCATAAGAACCACAGTCATAGTCACTATATTCAGAACCAAATTTTATCACAACGTAACGTATTTTTAAGTTGTGCTTCTGATGTCTCATGAGAATCGAAGCCATTGCCACTGTATTCTGAACGTTATCAAATTAGACCAAAACGTTACTTTTATGTATCTATAAGTTGTGCCTCTAATATGCCATAAGAACCGACATTGCCACTACGTTTAGAACGTTATCAAATTTTACCAAAACGTTACTTATTATGCCATTTAAAGCTTATGCCAAAATACGTACCTCATGGAGTAGCAGTGTCTTTGGATTTTCTTCATCGATATCAACAATATGTATAAACTCGAAAAATTGATAATTCACCAAGAAAACATATTCGAAATCATCGGGATAGATAGGGTGAATAGCTTTGATTCCATAAACTCCTTCTGTTGCCATGTGGATATTGGAGCTAATAGCAACATCTCTAGCATATTCTTCCTTGACAATCTTAGTCTGAAAATGTAAATTACGATTAAAGGTGATAAATAATTAATGTCATAACCCGGAATTATGTTTGCCCAGAAACCATGACAGACATTTGGGAAACTTAAGGACACTTCGGGGGAAACGACAGTACATTGAACTTTTTTTATTGAACATTTTCAATATTGGCTAAATTTTTTGTACCTTATAGTCTACCTTATTGGCACCCGTACTGTCCTTTATAGCGAAAACGATCACTATTTTGATAAAAAATTATGTTGCCTGAATATTCACTAGGAATTGAATGCGTGGGTGTTCAGGCAAGAGAGCATTCCGAGCATGGGCATCTATGACAACCATCGACTTTATCCTAATAATAACCGCGGGTTTCTCTTAGAGCAAACTGAGTCGCCAATTCGGGACAGTTACCTCGATAATACGGTCAGTAATACGTCTTTTTACACATACACATAAGGAACTGTTGTGGAATTTTGACCACATTGAAATGAAATGAAATGAAATGAAATGAAATGAAATGAAATGAAATGAAATGAATGGAGTTTTACGTCCTACATTTCTGCACCATGTGGGTGGGCTAATGAAGATGGTTTAACCACATTGAAAAGGTGAATGAAAATATATACCTGAGCAGAATACGTGGCACTTGCAAGAAACACCAACTGAGCCATCTCTGGCCAAATGCGACGAACAATGTTCTTCATGCCTCTCCTAAATATACTCCTTAATTCTGCAGCACGTCCTGGGTCTGGTTCGAACTCTTCGTTTATTTGTTGCCGCACATCATCGTCAATGATAACGTCTCTACTGATCGTGCCGCTTTCGATATCATTACACATAATTTCCCAATTTTTCTCGATCATTTTGAAAAACAACAAGGCAATGGGTGCAATCTGCAGGAAAAGCAAATTGGCATCACTGAGTTGGATGGCAAAGACTGCATGGACGTATATACTGGAGAGTTCATTTGTGATATAAAACGCTGCAGAAGGAGATTGGGTGTGAGGCATTCTTTTAAATAATGTGGAAGACGAACCTCTTTGAATACCGCGTTTGTTAAACTTCACCCCCGGTTTGATGAAAATCTGTGGCCACTTCTTCAAAGGAATCAAGTCTTTTTCTAAACTGACTATCATGCAAGCAAAGAATGGTAGCATATAACAACTCTTCAATAACTTCCTGTTTCTTGGAAACTCTTTGGAAACACCAGAAGTAGTACCGGAAGTGGTATTGATGAAGTCTGTCGGTCCATCGAACATTACGTTTTCCTCGCCGTCTAAACATGCTTTAAAATACTCTATGTAGTGTTTGTATGTAGTCAATGGATGGAGATTTCGGAACTCATCAATACTGTTAATATTGTCCAAACCATAATCTTTCCCATATCGTGTTGATTTGTTCGCTTTAAGAAATTTCTTCAGTTGCTTTGCTTGAGCCGTACGTGGATCCTTGCAGGCGCGTTTAAATTTGTAATATTCTATGTTGCCTATACACTGAACAGTGAGCGTCAAAAAGTATTGTCCGAGCAAGGATGACCATGTATGAGCATCAGATGGCTGCCTAGAACTCATGTGATAACACATTGATGCCAATACCCATAAAAACAGGTGGTAAAACAGGTCTGGAAAAAACGAATATCAGTTAATAATACATGAAACATAATAAATAATGACGTACGATAGTCTCAGTTGAAAATTTCAGACGGTAATTTCCTAACACAAAAATATCACTGTTAATGTGATTAAAATGGTTTGATTAAGTCTGGATGATAGAATCTCTAGGGTCGATGAAATGACTGATATTTGTATTTAATTAAACCTATGAGTAGTCTTTTTTATTTAATTGTGGACAACTGATGTTTGATTGTTTGTTGTATCCACTAGCAACACGACGAGTGCATGACTACAGAGGATTTTTTTTTAATTAAACCAATGCGTAGTCCGTTTTGTTTTATTTTATTGCGGGCGAACCTGATGTTTGATTTAAATTATGAAAAGGGAGAGCAGTTTATCCACCAGCAATACGATGAGTATTGAGGACTCACTTACTCTGGTTTTCTTGTCTAATCTAATCAATCAGCTGAGGTCTTTATCAGAATATTGTAATCTATCAAATCACAATTTACATGTAAACACTTGATATAAAACATTTAGGGTCAGACAAGGTTTGAACCAAGTGTGAACGTATTGTACTTTCCATTCGTCAACATTTATTTTTGACACGAAAGAGGTTATACATCTTCACAATATCAAGCTATTACGAACTCCGTATTTTACCTTGACTGCAATAGTCACCTTTCTTGCATCACAGAAGTTTTTAAGCGATTAGGTTGGATTAGCTAGTTAAAACAGACAATCAGAGGCCTCGACAGAAAGCCTGTGAACATAATGCAGTTAAGGTATAGCTATTGGTAATAGCCTGACATTGTGAAGATGGATGTTACATTTTTTTTTATCCGATTTTCTACTTGTAAATAGTTGATCAAAGCAAAGTTTTATTAAACTTGTACTGGCGAAAAGTACATTTGATCTCGCATTATGCACTCAAGTTATAACCATAACGTAGTTCACAACCAGCCTTTTCTAAACCTTCAGATGAGATTTGATGGTATAGTTGAAATATTATATCCTTTTTCAAAATACGGAGATATGGCTGTGAACTACGTTCGTGTGTTATTTCCATGCAACAACCATAATATGTAGTATCGTATGAAGTTATAACCCGAATCTACGAACGTCTAATATTCCAATTACAGAATTGCTGATCAAGAGACTATAAGCTAATACCTTAGGAGGAGCTATGTGTATACATAGATGTAATGTGGCCATGTTTTTTGCACTTTAATTTTTTGTGGTTGAAAATTATATCCGAATCAATGCAAACCTCTAAGAAATGAAATAAATTGAATGGAGTTTTACGTCCTATTTTATTGTATCATGTGAGCTAATGAAGACGGGCAACGCCATGCATGGTGCAATGAGGAAACTTTTGCCAAGACAACGACATTTATAGCCTGTTCTTTTTCGATTTCTAACTTGGGATCTTTGAGTTAACGTGCATAGGAAGCACACGGGACCTCGGTTTATTTTCCCATCCAAATGACTAGACGATTTTTTTAAATGTCAGTCCCTCTTACATGCATCACTGACAGGGGGAAATCGGGCTGAAAAAGCAAACATCTAAGAGGAATAATGAATGAATTTGAAAATCTGTACCTTCGTAAATAATGTATGATATAGATCTATTTCTGTTATGCATCCGTGTTGTTGTTATTATATATAGAGATATCAATAATGCTGCATACATGATGATAGATAATCTTCTCTTCCAACGGTTTCTTATACCATTCACTGAAATAAGTAACACTCAGTTACGGTTTACATTAAAGAGATCGTAACAATTTGTATGTGTATTGGGGACACTGAGGGCATCAACATGAACCATTCCAATTTTCAATCAGACGTCTATGGCTCCTGCAATTCCACAAAAACTAAGTGCGATTGGTGACATCATCAAGCAAAATTGAAAATTGGAATGGTGCAAATCGATGCTGTATTTTTCCCTGACACACATTTTTTATAGAAAACCTCTTTACAATCCCTTTAAAGGTATACGTCCGTATGATATTTATAGGGTGGCTCAGAAAAAAAACGATAACACAATCATAAAGTATCGAAGCTAAGACCATAATATTTTGAGCTCATATTAATATAGTTCCAATAGCACCTGGACACG